GGGTGTTGGATAGCTCATCAATGGGCAGCAGGAGCGAAGTGGTCTGCTCTGCCGCTGGCTGGGCTGTGACCAGCTCGCCCTGGTCACGATCCAGCTCATCCTGTTCCTATGGCTGCTTCCGAGTGCATTCACTTGGTCTTGATCCAGCTCATCCTGATCCTGTGGCTGCTCCTGAATCCATTCAGATTCTGGGGCAGGCCGCTTAGCTGCGGAGTGGAGGTGGTCCTGGTGATCAGCTCTGCTGCTGCGGCTTCGGTGTCATGTTGAGGCAGTTGGGTCCAATGTAACGCTGCTCCTGGCTGCTGCTGCTTGGCCTGGAGGTTCTTGTTGCTCTGTGGGGAAGCCGAGATGCCAGAGTCATCAGAATGCGGGTCACCAGGGCTCTCCTCCTTGGCGCTGATCACGCTAGAAGCCAGCCACGGGGTGTTGGATAGCTCATCAATGGGCAGCAGGAGCAAAGTGGTCTGCACTGCCGCTGGCTGGGCTGTGACCAGCACGTCCTGGTCACGATCCAGCTCATCCTGTTCCTATGGCTGCTTCCGAGTGCATTCACCTGGTCTTGATCCAGCTCATCCTGATCCTGTGGCTGCTCCTGAATGCATTCAGATTCTGGGGCAGGCCGCTTAGCTGCGGAGTGGAGGTGGTCCTGGTGATCAGCTCTGCTGCTGCGGCTTCGGTGTCATGTTGAGGCAGTTGGGTCCAATGTAACGCTGCTCCTGGCTGCTGCTGCTTGGCCTGGAGGTTCTTGTTGCTCTGTGGGGAAGCCGAGATGCCAGAGTCATCAGAATGCGGGTCACCAGGGCTCTCCTCCTTGGCGCTGATCACGCTAGAAGCCAGCCACGGGGTGTTGGATAGCTCATCAATGGGCAGCAGGAGCAAAGTGGTCTGCACTGCCGCTGGCTGGGCTGTGACCAGCACGTCCTGGTCACGATCCAGCTCATCCTGTTCCTATGGCTGCTTCCGAGTGCATTCACCTGGTCTTGATCCAGCTCATCCTGATCCTGTGGCTGCTCCTGAATCCATTCAGATTCTGGGGCAGGCCGCTTAGCTGCGGAGTGGAGGTGGTCCTGGTGATCAGCTCTGCTGCTGCGGCTTCGGTGTCATGTTGAGGCAGTTGGGTCCAATGTAACGCTGCTCCTGGCTGCTGCTGCTTGGCCTGGAGGTTCTTGTTGCTCTGCGGGGAGGCCGAGATGCCAGAGTCATCAGAATTCGGGTCACCAGGGCTCTCCTCCTTGGCGCTGATCACGCTAGAGGCCAGCCACGGGGTGTTGGATAGCTCATCAATGGGCAGCAGGAGCGAAGTGGTCTGCACTGCCGCTGGCTGCGCTGTGACCAGCTCGCCCTGGTCACGATCCAGCTCATCCTGATCCTGTGGCTGCTCCTGAATCCATTCAGATTCTGGGGAAGGCCGCTTAGCTGCGGAGTGGAGGTGGTCCAGGTGATCAGCTCTGCTGCTGCGGCTTCGGTGTCATGTTGAGGCAGTTGGGTCCAATGTAACGCTGCTCCTGTCTGCTGCTGCTTGGCCTGGAGGTTCTTGTTGCTCTGCGGGGAGGCCGAGATGCCAGAGTCATCAGAATTCGGGTCACCAGGGCTCTCCTCCTTGGCGCTGATCACGCTAGAGGCCAGCCACGGGGTGTTGGATAGCTCATCAATGGGCAGCAGGAGCGAAGTGGTCTGCACTGCCGCTGGCTGGGCTGTGACCAGCTCGCCCTGGTCACGATCCAGCTCATCGTGATCCTGTGGCTGCTCTTGAATCCATTCAGATTCTGGGGAAGGCCGCTTAGCTGCGGAGTGGAGGTGGTCCAAGTGATCAGCTCTGCTGCTGCGGCTTCGGTGTCATGTTGAGGCAGTTGGGTCCAATGTAACGCTGCTCCTGGCTGCTGCTGCTTGGCCTGGAGGTTCTTGTTGCTCTGTGGGGAGGCCGAGATGCCAGAGTCATCAGAATTCGGGTCACCAGGGCTCTCCTCCTTGGCGCTGATCACGCTAGAGGCCAGCCACGGGGTGTTGGATAGCTCATCAATGGGCAGCAGGAGCGAAGTGGTCTGCACTGCCGCTGGCTGGGCTGTGACCAGCTCGCCCTGGTCACGATCCAGCTCATCGTGATCCTGTGGCTGCTCTTGAATCCATTCAGATTCTGGGGAAGGCCGCTTAGCTGCGGAGTGGAGGTGGTCCAAGTGATCAGCTCTGCTGCTGCGGCTTCGGTGTCATGTTGAGGCAGTTGGGTCCAATGTAACGCTGCTCCTGGCTGCTGCTGCTTGGCCTGGAGGTTCTTGTTGCTCTGTGGGGAGGCCGAGATGCCAGAGTCATCAGAATTCGGGTCACCAGGGCTCTCCTCCTTGGCGCTGATCACGCTAGAGGCCAGCCACGGGGTGTAGGATAGCTCATCAATGGGCAGCAGGAGCGAAGTGGTCTGCTCTGCCGCTGGCTGGGCTGTGACCAGCTCGCCCTGGTCACGATCCAGCTCATCCTGATCCTGTGGCTGCTCCTGAGTACATTCACCTGGTCTTGATCCAGATCATCCTGATCCTGAATGCATTCAGATTCTGGGGAAGGCCGCTTAGCTGCGGAGTGGAGGTGGTCCAAGTGATCAGCTCTGCTGCTGCGGCTTCGGTGTCATGTTGAGGCAGTTGGGTCCAATGTAACGCTGCTCCTGGCTGCTGCTGCTTGGCCTGGAGGTTCTTGTTGCTCTGCGGGGAGGCCGAGATGCCAGAGTCATCAGAATTCGGGTCACCAGGGCTCTCCTCCTTGGCGCTGATCACGCTAGAGGCCAGCCACGGGGTGTTGGATAGCTCATCAATGGGCAGCAGGAGCGAAGTGGTCTGCACTGCCGCTGGCTGGGCTGTGACCAGCTCGCCCTGGTCACGATCCAGCTCATCCTGTTCCTATGGCTGCTTCCGAGTGCATTCACCTGGTCTTGATCCAGATCATCCTGATCCTGTGGCTGCTCCTGAATGCATTCTGATTCTGGGGCAGGCCGCTTAGCTGCGGAGTGGAGGTGGTCCAGGTGATCAGCTCTGCTGCTGCGGCTTCGGTGTCATGTTTCCTGGCTGCTGCTGCTGCTTGGCCTGGAGGTTCTTGTTGCTCTGCGGGGAGGCCGGGATGCCAGAGTCATCAGAATGCGGGTCACCAGGGCTCTCCTCCTTGGCGCTGATCACGCTAGAGGCCAGCCACGGGGTGTTGGATAGCTCATCAATGGGCAGCAGGAGCGAAGTGGTCTGCACTGCCGCTGGCTGGGCTGTGACCAGCTCGCCCTGGTCACGATCCAGCTCATCCTGATCCTGTGGCTGCTCCTGAGTACATTCACCTGGTCTTGATCCAGCTCATCCTGATCCTGTGGCTGCTCCTGAATGCATTCAGATTCTGGGGCAGGCTGCTTACCTGCGGAGTGGAGGTGGTCCAGGTGATCAGCTCTGCTGCTGCGGCTTCAGTGTCATGTTGAGGCAGTTGGGTCCAATGTAACGCTGTTCCTGGCTGCTGCTTGGCCTGGAGGTTTTTGTTGCTCTGCGAGGACGCCGAGATGCCAGAGTCATCCGAATGCTGGCCATCGAGGCTCTCCGCCTTGGCGCTGATCACGCTAGAGGCCAGCCACGGGGTGTTGGATAGCTCATCAATGGGCAGCAGGAGCGAAGTGGTCTGCACTGCCGCCGGCCGGGCTGTGACTAGCACGCCCTGGACATGATCCAGCTTATCCCGATCCTGTAGCTGCTTTTGAGTGCATTCACCATAGCCCAAAACAAAGCAGTGGTCCACCTCAGAGTCCTCATCGTCATCGTCGTCCGCATAGGCCTCCTCGTCCGTGCTGAGCTGGCTGGAAACGAAAAAACGTAAGATGATGAGAGGACGATTCTTGAAAGCCTTGTCCTGTACTCGCAGCTTGTCCAGCGAAGCCTTCAGGGTGATCTGCGTGTTAATCTTGCGCAGGATCTTCTGCTTAATGGGCACATAGCCTCGACGCAACGGCCTTCCACCCCCGAGGCCGGCAGGGGAATATTGGGTGTCACCAGCTTGCCATGGGAGGCTATAAACCGCTTAATCAGGCCGCTCAGCGGCGGCATGGAATAGTCCTGGTGATGAGCTTCTGCTGCGGCGGCTCCGGTGTCATCGAGCAGTCCAATGTCCAATATAACGCTGCTTCTGGGGGGGGGGGGTGACCACTGTCAGCTTGAGCGGCTGCTGCTGCTTGTCCTTGAGGTTGTTGTGGCTCTGCGAAGATGCCGAGATGCCCGAGTCATTAGAATGCGGATCTGGACCTTGACATGATTCAGCTTATCCTGATCCTGTAGCTCCTCCTGGGTGGATTCACCATAACCTAAAACGTACGATGTCAAAGCTGCACGTGGTTCCATGCCAGTAGTCGATAGTCAAAGCTGCACATGGTTTCATGTCATCAGTGATCGTCGCTGCAGCACATGGTGGCAGGCAAGCAGCTAAAAGCCAAACCGGTCACACTTCGATGTAAAAGTAGCGAAACACGAGTTGGTCACACTGCAAAAAGCTTGTGATAATGGATATGGTCTTACCTTTTTTACAAGTGAAATGGCCGCCTTAATAACCGTCCTCTTCTCGGCATTTTTCTTGATTAGGCTTTCCCACTGGGCAATGAAGCCTTACGATGAGGGCGCTTCCTTGGGCGTCAGATCACACAGCGGGGCAGGCGACATGGGCGGACGCATCCCATTAATGCTGCCATTGCTGGCGGCTGCATTCAGGCTGCAATTGCCAGCGGGCTTGTGTACGTTCTCCGGCTCCTTGCTGTTTATAAAAGAATGAAAATTCAATAAGAATTAAACTTCTTTAAGTAGGTTATCTAACACTTGCCCATTTCTTTCAAACTCCTTGGCGGACTGGACATTGCGCAGTTTTCCGGATCCATAGCAGTGCTCCACCTCAGAGTGGAGCCTCATCGTCATTGTCGTCCGCATCGGCCTCGTCGTCTGTGCTGAGCTGGCTAAAAACGAAAAAACGTAAAATGACAAGAGGATTTTTGAATGCCTTGACGTGCACTCACAGCTTGTCCAGCGAAGCCTTCAATGTGTTGTGTCTGTCATTCTTGCGCATGCGCTTTAGCTCCGTCTCGCGCAACTTGAGGCCCTGCAGCTCCTGCTGGATCTTCTGCTCGACGGGCACAGCCTCGGTGCAAAGGCCTGCCCTCCGAGTCCCGCTCGATGGCTGCCGGTGATAGGGTGACCGTGGTAATGCCCGTTGGAGATGCCGTGGTAATGTCGTTCTCCAGGAAGGCCAACGCCGTGCGTGTGTTCAGCTTGAGGGTGTTGCTGTTGGTGTTGTTGTTGCTGCTGACTTCCATTCTGATTGCTCCCTGAGCTGCTGATGTCGGCATAAAGCGCTTCCAGTAGTACTCTTCAGCCTTTGCTCGTAGTGGGGAATCCTGCCAGGACAAAAGAACAAAAAATTTAGTGACTGCCAAATCTCTTCGATGCCCTTCAAGCCCATTTTGACATTTCGTAAAGGAAGCGATCGGCGCGGACAAGTGACTGCTTGCCGCCAGTTGCTCGCAGATCCTCATAGGAGCCATCAGTAGCCTGTGAAAAGAGAGGAGAATATTAAGTAAGGGAATATCTTGCATTCGAATCTTTTCTAAACACCGATACCGCATTCTTTTGGTAAACCGAAAAGAATTTGTCTATCGACTCCAACTCCATGTTGTTGTACAGCTTGCTTTCGTCAAGCTCGCTTCAGACGGTGCCCTAGATACAAAGGATAGAAATTAATTTATGTGACGTTCCTTAACTTGACCTAACTCTGTACTCACCCATTGCTGGCGCATTGCTGCAAATCCTCCGCCTTCATTTCGGCAGTCTGCACGCGCTGCACCGCCTGCGAATGCTGAGCGGACTCCTCCAAACGTCCGCGCATGCGTATCAGACCCGTTTCAATATCCTCCTTCTGCTGCACGCAGAATCAAGAAGTTCTGAAAATAATTTATAATCAAATTAATAAACAAACACCAGCTGTTACCAAAGTTGAAGAATGAACTAAAGCTAACTGAAATTAATGCTTTTATGTTTTGCTGAATTACGAGATTTTTAAACTTTGATATGTCAATAAATAAAGTGCATGTAAAAATATAAATATAGAATCTTAAAATCCAAACTTTATTTTATCATTTTTATACCCTTGCATGGTATTATAATTTTACTCAAAAGTTTAGAACGCAGTAACGCCCTTATTAAGTAAACATATTCTTGATCAGCATCAACAGCTCTTTCCCTTTCTCCCTCTCTCTTACTCTCTCTGCTAACTCTTTCTCTGTATGTTTTTCTGCCTATCTCTTACTCTCTCACTTTCTCTGTTCTCTTGACTCGGGAACTATAAATAGAGGCACTTCGTTCGCCGCGACCTCAGTCTGTCCTAGGGGTACCTAGTGTTTACATCGATAGTGATAGTGGTTAAAAGAATGACATTGCCAATGGAATACATCTGGATAACCAGGAAGTGATCTTCGATATTATGACGCCTTGAAGTCAAAATGATTCGAAGTCTACACTCGAAGGAAGTAAACAATGACGTGTCCTCCACTGGGGTAAGTCTTAATAATGACAATTATATCCTATACATATAAAGATGCTATAGGAGGGATCTGCTAGCTATGCATTTAATTTTCAATTAATTCCCTTATTGCCATGGATCTCATTACTTAGTTTTAATTTAAAGTGATTCGGTAATTTGTATGGAGGATATCTACAAACGTATACTCAGAGTTAAAAGCCTTAATTAATTATAAGATCTTACTCTTTCGATAGTTTTCAAACTGACCCTGGCCCTAGCTAGACCGACTCGGCTGATGATGCTGATCAAGAATATACATATAATATTTATAGGGTCGAAAATGACTCCTTCACAGTATTACAAGCTTTCGACAAAAATTAGAATAGTATAAAAACTCACCTGGCCAAGGAAGAGCGCTACTTCTCCTGGGCATCACGAGCTGTCTTGGCCTCATCCTCATCGTACCGGTTACAGTTGTACCAGGAGGAGCCGTGCGGCTCCCAGGAGTCGAGGCAGACCCAACAGAACTCGTTCTTGCAGTTCTGGTTCTTGCACACCAAATGGTTGCAACCGCCGTCTTCCTCAATGGTCACACTGCACTTGGGACACTCTTTAGTATTGGCCGTGATCCAGTTGGACGTTTCTGAGTTGTCGTCGCTCTTCTCATTCCACTTCTTTAGCCAGCGGCATTTGACCGGATCGGAATCGGATATAAGGTCGCTGCTCCACCTGCAGTACAACCTGCTGGACCACACGATCGATCACTCGCCCATTTCTATCCAACTCCTGGGTGGACTGGACATTGTGCAATTTTCCGGGTCCATAGCAGTGCTCCACCTCAGAGTCCTCATCGTCCGCATTGGCCTCGTCGTCTCTGCTGAGCTGGCTAAAAACGAAAAAACGTAAAATGACAACAGGATTCTTGAATGCCTTGACGTGTACTCACAGCTTGTCCAGCGAAGCATTCAGTGCGTTGTGCCTGTTATTCTTGCGCAGGCGCTTCAGCTCCGTCTCGCGCAAGTTGAGGCCCTGCAGTTCCTGCTGGATCTTATGCTCAACGGGCACATAGCTTCGACGCAACGGCCTGCCCCCAGAGTCCGGCAGGGGAATATTGGGTGTCACGCCCTTGGTAGGGCAGGCCGCTCAGCTGCGGCATGGAAATGGTCCTGGTGATGGCAGCTTCTGCCGCGGCGGCTCCTGTGTCATGTAGAAGTCTAATGTCCAATATAACGCTGCTTCTGGCGGGTGGCTGCTTCTGTTGCTGCTTGCCCTGGATGTTGTTGTTGTTCTGCGAGGAGGCCGAGACCTGGACAGGATCCAGCTTATCCTGATCCTGTAGCTGCTCCTGAGTGCATTCACCATAACCTAAGACGTACGATGTCAGAGCTGCACGTGGTTCCATGCCAGCAGTCGATAGTCAAAGCTGAACATGGTTGTCATCAGTGATCGTCGCTGCAGCACATGGTGGCAGGCAAGCAGCTAAAAGCCAAACCGGTCACACTTCGATGTAAAAGTAGAAAAACACGAGTTGGTCACACTGCAAAAAGCTTGTGATAATGGATATGGTCTCACCTTTTTTACAAGTGATATGGCCGCCAGTAAAACCGTCCTGGCTCGGCATTTTTCTTGATTAGGCTTTCCCACTGGGCAATGAAGCCTTACGATGAGGGCGCTTCCTTGGGCGTCAGATCACACAGCTGGGCCAGCGACATGGGCGGACGCATCCCATTAATGCTACCATTGCTGACTTCATTGGCTATGTAGGCGGCTGCATTCAGGCTGCGATTGTGTACGATATACGGTTCGTTGCTGTTCATATAGAATGAAAATTCAATGAGAATCAAACTTCTTTAAGTAGGTTATCTAACACTTGCCCATTTCTATCCAACTCCTGGGTGGACTGGGCATTGCGCAGTTTTCCGGATCCATAGCAGTGCTCCACCTCAGAGTGCTGAGTTGACTGGGGAGGAAAAAAAATAAAAGGTGATGAGAGGACGATTCTTAATAGCCTTATCCTGTACTCACAGCTGGTTGAGCGAAGCCTTCAGTGTGTTCTGCCGGTTAATCCTGCGCAGGCGCTTCAGGTCAGTCTCGTATGACTTGAGGACCTGCAGCTCCCGCTGCTCGACGGGCACACAGCCTCGACGCAACGGCCTGCTCACCGAGTCCCGCTCGATGGCTGCCGGTGATCGGGTGACAGTGGTAATGCCCGTTGGCGAGTTCCCGTTCTCCAGGAAAGCCAGCGCTCCAGCGTGTGTTTAGCTTGAGGCTGATGTTGTTGCTGTTTCTGCTAATTTCCATTCTGATTGCTTTCGAAGCTGGTAATGTTTTCCAATGGCGAGACAGGCGGCAGGAGACTATTGGGTGTCACCAGTTTGGCACGGAGGCTACAAACCGCTGCATCAAGCCCTTTGTGGAAATGGTCCTGGTGATGAGCTTTTGCTGCGGCGACTCCGGTGTCATGTTGTAGCAGTTTTGCAGTTGGTTACTTGCCAGCAGCCGATAAACAAACCTGCACATTCCTCCTTATCATCTGCAAAATTAGTGCAAAATTAGCAAGTCAGACTGCAAAAAAGCTGTGAAAAATAATATGGTTACTGTACAAAAACATGTAGTGAAAAATGACAGTCACTCTTCGATATTAGAGTAGTGACAATAAGCTGGTCACACTACCAAGAAGTTCACGATATGGTCACACTACCAAAAGCTTATGATATGATCACGTACCTGCCGCTTTCCGGTAACGTTCTACAGCATCTCCATTTAGGTGTACTTGTCCCAGAACTGATTGACGCGTGGCATTATGTTAACGACGCGATCCCACCGGTTGCGGGCATGGTTCACCTGTTTGTTCTTCATCTTCATCTCAGTGTACTTTAGCCAGAGCGTCACGTTCCGGTGCTTGTTGACCAGCGCCCGCTCCCAGCGTCTCGTCTTCCAGCAGCTCTTTGCATACATAGTCCACCTGGTTGTTGGGATGGAGGAAAAAGCCGCTCTGCCAGTCCATCGCAATGTTGCCGTCGATCTCAATGGAGCGGACGTAGCCGCCATTTTTCTTTTCCACAATCAGCGACATGATGGCAAACCGTACGGCGCACAGCAAGTGTCGCCCATTCCGTACCACAGAACCACGGGCAGGACGTCGGAGTTTCGGCTTCCACCAGAAGTAAGCAAAAACGATTATTAAGAGTAATAAAAGGTTAAGGATGAACCGACATATCACTTTAATATTTTTATCCAGTGTGACCGTTTTCAAGCAAGCTTGAAAATACCAAAAGCCGGGTGGAGTCTATCGATAGCTGAAAAGATTATTCTATCGATATATTTTTATTGGTCGAAATTGACTGCAACTGATCGCATACTTAAATTTGTTGTTGTTGTGCCCAAAATTGTTGTTGTAGAGCAGTGTCCTATTCCTGAAGTACCAGGCAAACAGAAACTGCAAAAGGCAGATTAATTTTGGTGCAAGAGGTTTAAATTAGAGTTGTCATTTTAGCTATATTACAGCTTTTGTCGTCTCAACCCTTTGAGCTACCACCGGCGGCAATATATTACAGCTGAGACTAAAATCTAGCTAAAAAAAAGGGGGTTTGTCAAACCTATATGGTGGGAACTTATCGTCATCTAAATTTATCGATTAACTTGGCGGTCACCAATCGGCAATTTAAATTCAAATTCAAATTTGTCGGTTAACTGTTGTCCGGTCGGTTGGCCACTCTTTCTTATTTTTTCATTGCCTACTTTCGCGGGGCACAAAATATTGTTCCAATATTAAATAAGAGCACACTGTTTTGGGCGGCAGAAAGCAGCTGCACAATCCTTTTTTTTTCTTAATATTTCATTATTAATGACTTCAGATTTGAAAGCCAATTTGGAATATAAATGACTTTTGACAATCGCTGGCTTATTGGCTATGTTATGCCATTAAGAAACATTTCCGCATGCTTATTAAATCAGCCTAATAGATGCACACTTTTATGGACACACAATTCGGAATCTTTGCACATTGTTTTTAATTGCATACTTTCACGGTGCCATAAATATTGTGTTTAAGTTAAATTTTAGCATACTGTTTCGGGCAGTAAAGGGAAATCGCACTATCTTTGAATTCAAATTTGTCAGTTAAAAACTTTAAATTTGAATTTGAATTTAAAATGAATATATATTTAAACGTTCAAGCATTTTAAATTAAATGGGTTATTATATGAATTCGGATATTTGCATTAACTTGATCCAAAGAGATGATGATCGAGAGAACACTCTTTGTTTACTGATTTATTTTAATCTTGTCGTGCCGAAGTCTGCTTTCTTTATTGTACTCATATCAAATATATTAATGTATTATTTAAGTAAGCAAGCTCTCATTCCAAAAGCATGCACCAATGTTTATGCCTTTATTTAAATGAAAATACTGTTCTTTCCATGCGAAATTTTCGTTGAGGCCAACGAATAAAATTTTAAATTGATTGCAATGTACTGGCCCGAGGCGGGTCGCAGGTCGCAGGTCATCACTGCACTGAAAGTACAAAGACAATTACTATTCATTTTAATATGAAATGTGAATAAACAAAGATTGACGTGAAATTTTCGAGAAATGCAAATACGGCTTTGACACCATTAAAAAGGATACAAAGGATAATGGAATTTGTTTTCTGTATGCTATTGTCAGCGCAGTTGGAGTCAAACGAATTTTATTTATACGCGTACCAAAGTGAAATGTACAAAAAAGAGACTCTTCCCTGCTGCTACCAACTTGTCACGCGTTGTTGCCTTTTTTGATTTGCGGCTTTCACATTTTCATGGCGAGAACAAAACTCAATTTGTCCTGTTCTCGGGGCACAAAAAACTGATGCTCCAATTACGCAGCAAACTGCAATCGCAGAAGCACTCCCTCGTATTCGCATTCACATTCGCATTTTGTATTTGCATTTCCGCCACCGATGGCACAGAAAAACTTTCAATTTGCAAGTATTTATAAAAAATACCTTCTCCTCTTGCGGAAAATTACACAGTGAGAGAGACTGTAATTACTTTTCCTTCCAGAAGCAACTCAAAATATTTATATGTTATATGATGCACGTAAACATTGCCATGTAGATGTGCTTGTAAACGAATTAAAATGGCATTCAAGTTGTGGTTGCAAAATGATTTCCTTTCCTGCCAATTTCCCCCCATGTAAATATTTATTAATTGCTCCTTGTTGGAAGGCAGGCAAAGGGAGCAGCGAGGAAGGCAAGGCAAAGTGTAAATAATATATGAATATAATATATTATAGAGTCTCGACCAAGGGAAATCCATTACCAAAAACCCGTTTTTTTCTAGTTATTTGTAAATGTAAATAATACATGTAGTATGCTCTTAAATCCGCTGCTAAAACCTGCACAAAAATTATACATGTTGATTTTTTTCATAGAGTTTTTTCCGGCGAAAAATAAACCGTAGAGCCTTGGGCTATGGCAGATATGGTGTGCAAGTACTTACCATATTTGTACGGCCAGGCCATAAAAATGTATGTGCATTAACATTGCTGCGGCCATGCAGCTGCCATATATCATCCTGGACCAGATCAGATCCCAGTTTTATGCCACCAGTCCCTTTTGACCATCGGAGACGGCTTTTGGCCTCGTCCACGGACTCACCATCTCTGCCATCTGGCAACGCATTCCGCATCCAATTCGTGGTCCTTTGTGTGGTTTGCCTTTTGGCTCTTTATTGCCGTTGTTGGCTTTATTGTCGCTGGAAATTAAGTGACAACAAGAGTTGGTCCTGTTGGGTGTTCGTCCTTTGCTCGCTTTTGCCGCTGACCACTTTCATTCCACAGAGTTTCACAGAGTACATTGAGTACAGTAAACACATACCAGGCCTGGCCGTTCATTTCCTTTATATTATGTGTTAATGAGCTTGATTCGAAGAAGAAATCAAAAGGTTTTTTGAAATTAAAATACTTATTTAAAAAAATGTATCTCTTTAAAATATTAATTTAAATCAAATGCAAATAATAATAACAAAACAAGTTTCACTTTAGTTTTAAGTAGTTCGTGGCAGTTTCCTAACTAAACTTATACTAAATGTAGTGATTAGTTTCATTCACAAGGATATCAAATTCATTAAAACCATAACTAATATATATTATATATTTTTATATATATATTTTTATTTAATTTCCCTACAAGGTTAGTCTCCACTGTCTGCTCTTTGGCGCATAATGTGCAGCAAGTGCTTCATTGGCTATCCTTTCTGCCACTAAAGTGGAATTTAATATGCGATGTCCTTTGATTCGGAAACCTGGAACCAACCCACTTTTGTAACTCTGCCCTTTTGGCATAACCAAATATTTGCTATTTTCACACCTGTCGCCACAAACTGAACGCTCATTTGCTGTTGTTTAAGAAAAGCTACAATTATTTCCTAACTAAACTCAAGATATTATTGAAAGTTGTGCCTTACACACGGGTACTTACAGGTTAATCAAGGAAAAGGTTAATTAAAGGTTTTAATTAAACAAAGGTTTGAGCATATTCCTTTCTTAATAACTAACCATGAAACTTGAAATTTCCCCCTAAAAAGAAAACTATGAAAAATGTAATGCATTTTCCAGAAAGAGTTTGCTGCTTTATAAAACCAGCTAAGCCTCTTTTAGTGCTCCCACCCGTTGGGAGGCAAAAGTTGCTCCTTTCACACATTTTACTGGAAGATGGAAGATGGGTTAACTCGAGTTAAAGTTGAATATTTGAACTTGCATATAATGTGTTATATAAGTTGTCTTTTGCGCCGTGTCGCACGTGGCGTATACTTCATATTTCCCAACTGAATCGCAGTCGCTGTCGCTCAGTTTCTCGGTCCTATGTGTGTGCTTGTATTTGCGTGCTGCCTGTGGGTGTGTGTGTGTGTTTGTGTGAGTGAGTGACCTTGCGTTGGTTGGCCCCCAAAACAAGGTTGTTGGAGGTTTTTGCCACTCTCTAGAAAACAAACAAAACAATTAAAACAATTGGCTTTTTGGTCGCCTCATTTGCATTCAGTGGATGCAGATGCACTTTTCCAGCACCATAAAAAAAAACAAAAAACAAACGTGGGAAAAAATCCCCTCTCTCCCCCTCAATTAGTCCAGCTTAATCAACAGCCAAAATGCAGTCGGTTGTCAGTCGTTGGTTTTCGTACTTTATGTTGGCCTAAGACCATAACTCAAAATAATTTCTTCCGTTCTAGGCAGCTCCCTCTCTCTCACTCTCCATCTCTCTTTAGCATTTTCCGCCATGAAAATGGTTTCGCTTACGGTTTATGGTGTTTATGGGGGCTAGTCCCTGTGCGGCGTGTCCTTTTTTAGAGCTCTCAGTCTCAATGCCAACAAAAATGTGATTTGCTATACAAAGTTGTAGCAAAAAAGCCACAGTCAGGCTTATATTTGAAGAACATTTTTGATTTCTCAAATGTTTTCTTAGGACTTATTTAAAGGGAACTAAATTTATATTTATTTTAAGGTAGATGTAAAGTAATAAGGAAACTTATCGATTTCCCACTCGAATGGCCTCTACTGTAATGGCAAGAAAAACAGCTTTGCTTTGAATTGTGGAGAATTTCACCGCAAATGTTTGCTGCCCAAGTCGTTGCCATTTCCGTTTCCGTTTATGATTACCAGACGGAGCAGGGATGGGTCTGCAGGGGTTCGCGTGTGCAGCTTTGATGCTTTTGCCATTGTCGCAAAACTAAAGTTTATGATTTTGTGTAAAATATATATGTATGTATGTACGTAACCAGAAGAATAACATCGGAATATGCGCATATTTTCAAGATATACGAGCTGTGCACGAATAAATGAGCATTGGCCCCCCCAGATGCCCGTAAATACAAGCGGTTGCAGTTGAAGATCTCAAAAAGGACAAAGGACTCTCTGTTTGTTGGGAGGGAGATTTTGAAGAGAAACTGAATATATAAATAAAAGGGACCCTTGTATTGCGTGTTTTGTATTTAAATGTTTAATAAAGGTTTCGTTTTTACTTGCATTTGTTTTTAGATTTATCAAATATGCAACCAATAAAATTGATTTTAAAAGAACTTTAAAGAGCAATATATTTAATT